AACCAACTACACCACCCAGACAAGGGCGATATAACTTATAATTTTTAAAACAGTAATAAGACTCATTAATAATGCGGGTGCGCGTGATTATCGTACTGTAAGAGAATAATAGCAAAAACTAATTTGTCTTGATCTTCCTACACGCTTAAGAAACTTCAAAGTTCATTAAATCAAGCACGATGACAAACTTTTAGATTATATTTAAATATATAATATTTAATGAAATAGAGTAAAATAAATTAAATCTTACTAATCAGCGTCCACAAGACATTAACAAAAAATATATATTTTAATTTTCTTGATCAGTGCCTTTTAGACAATGGTTAATATTTTTTAAAATAATATTACTTGAATATTTTACTATCAACATATTTAGAAAGAAAATACAGTGATAAGAATTGTTTTTTATTTTTATGCCCTTATTACGACTACATATGTTTCAAATACCGGAATTCTTGCAATCAGCTTTAAGATAGGCAATTTAGTGAACACGAGCAATTATTCACATATAAGAAATCATACTCGAGTTTTGCTACCAAGGTTTTCTCCTTTATCCATTTTCTCTCTTGGTCAAAGCAGATTTTTCACTTATCTATTAATCATGCAAGCAAATCAGCTTGTAGTAGATGGGGCTATACTCTTTAGTAATGACTATGAAAATAAAATAAAAGAGTAAAGTAGTGGCGTAAAATAACCTAATTATAAAAACAATCATAAAATTATAATTTATTTTCTGTTCTTCAGAATAAATCCGATCTAAAAGAAGGCCAATGTTCTGAAAGATTTTAATGAATTGGAATTAGACTACAACTGTATTCTCTTACAAAATCCTCTACTTATATTCTCATTATATATATATAATTAATACAAAAAATACATTTACAGTATATTTTAAATGAGTAATTTATTTTCTAAAAGAATTTACAATTTTATGGGTTAAAATTTGTTGTTTGGATATTTATTTTAAAGAATTAAAAAAATTTAATGAAGATTTTAATAGACTAAAAATAAAGAATGCCAATAAGAGAGTAAAATTTATCGATAAAAAAAAGTAAAATTTAAAATTATTATTATTTATTTAGTTATGATTAATTTAATAATTTATATTTCATATTTTAATTAATTTTATTAAATATAATAATAAATTTTATAAAAATATAAATAATTTAATTACTTTATTAAAAAAAAATTATTTAAAAAATAAATTCAATTATTCTCTTCCAACAAAATATAATAAAATAATAAAAATTTAAATAATATCATTTAATTTTTAAAAATTTTAAATTCTCTAAAATTTTTAATCATCTCATCCAAAACAATCTTAATATATAAGAATCACAAAAACTATTCTAAATTTAGTAAAAAAAAATGTTGTCCGAAAATTTAAACATTATTCTGGAAAAATATCGGTATGTGATCAAAATTAGAGGTAATCCCATCAAATACTTTCATATGCCAGAAAGCAGGAGAAAGAGTGCCCTGATGACATTTTCTTCTGTTGCTTGAAGATTGAAAGGAGCAGAGACAAGGAAATCCCAAAACGAATTTGGAGCCTAACTTTTGTGACAGTGACGCGAGCATAAGACAAACTAAGCGAAAATCATACGGTGTATGCAGTGAACAAACCAATCATTGGGTGTAAGGGAAGAGGAGAATTAATGATAAAATATAATTAGACAAATGGAAACCCAGAAAGTGCAAGGTATTGCAGCTAGAGATTAAAGTCATTCTATTACATTTCAATTTAATTTAAGCTATTTAAACAATTCTAACAGCTTTAGATCAAATTCTGTTTATCTGTTTTATTTCATCTCTTTTTATCAACTTAAACAAAATATTATTGCTTAATTGCTTAATTAAATTATTATACAAACGCCATCTCAATCTCACATATACTAGACCACCAATCTATCTATGGCGGTGTAATAAGTAGGAAGAAGAAATATTAGGGTAAGGTTGGTTACCTGGATCGCATTTAATGCTGCACTTGCGGTCACACCGAGCTTGAAGCCTCGCTGCATACGACATTTGGCTCTCAATATACATCTAAATCATACCATAAGAAGTACTAAAATTGTATTTTCATCTCACTAATTTCCAGTTTTGATTTTGGCAACCATCACACTTTCGTATAATTTTTAATTTCAGTATATTTTGAATGTGAAAGAGTGTGTATTATCATTCTTGAATTGATGAGATTACAATAAAAAAAGTGTTGAATTGAGATTAAATGAGTGAATCACTAACCATCTCTTTGAACACAAGCAGTAGTGCAAGCATCTAAGCAATCGGCAGCAGAGGGCCGAGCAGTGGGCACTTGCGAAGAGATGAGAAGCAAAAGCATAATTGCAGCCACTATCTCCATCTTCTTCATCTTCTCAACTTTCCCTTTTGGTGTGTGATGATTTATCTACATTTATATTTGTATAAATATGGATAGATGTGTATATCTATCTATATCTCGCTATCGCAGTCATAGAACTAGTGTCGTTCCGTGCTGATATTTGTGGAGCGGCTAAATAAATGACCATGGCTATATGAGGAAATTACGGAAATGCCAAGCCTTGGGCACGGGCACCGCTGTCGGGTAGCCAAAAAGAAGCACATGCGTGGCTACTACACTCATGTCTTGTGTCTTGCTATTAACCTACACGCCTACACGCCTATCCATTAGCCCCCAATGTTGAACAATTAATACCCCTTTTTCTCTTCTTTGGGTCCAGCCCTGCCTCATTCTAGTACACTACACTAAAACAATTTAAATTAATTAGGAATATATAATTGATGTTTAATTATATTTTTTAATTTAATAAAAATATACCATTATAAATAAAATATAAACAATTTATTTTTATAGATAAAAACATCAATTGATAATTAGTTTAAAGTAAATGTTGTACCCAATGTTTTTAATATGAATAGAAATTTAATTTATTAATAATTATTATCATCTGAATTTAATTTAAAGCATTTATATTTAATAAATAAATAATCTAATGTTTATTTTATACGTAATTAAAAGTATTTAAAAATATTTATCTAATACTCATTAACCTATACAACAATTATATAGGATTAGAAAGGATACGATATTAAAGTAGATATATTAAAAATTATTTAACTATTAAATAATTATTTTGGTCTTACATTTATATTTATAAAAGTTAAACAGATAAATTAAAATATTATATTAATTAAAATTAAATTAAATGATAATCATTCAAATTTTAGTATAATAAACTTCTCACGCATGGTATATGTTTCTTCTATACCAATGCTAATTTCGAGCACCACTGACATGGTGTTTGATTAATATCGAGCTATGTGGAGAGAGTGGATTTGACCAAGATCAATTCTGGCGGTGACCATTCCCAAATATCCTGCTTGATAACTATCAAATTGGGGAAAATATTTTTAAAAAGAAAAAGAGAAAAGAGAAAACTCTTTTTAAAGATGTAAATAAACATGTGTCTTAGTCTTCGATTAGATTATCATTTTATATAATTTAACTTTTGAAAGCAAAATTAAAAGTATTAATTAAAAAAATATAACAAATAAATATTAAAAAAATTGAAATTTCTCAAAATCATAGCTGACATTTTTTTTCGGGTGGACAGCGAGCATGGCCCAAGAACTTGGCGTCTTTCGTTCTTCAGCAAAGGTTGGAGGGGCCTCGGACCCTGAAACAATGGCACATTGTCAATTTCGAACTGGAACCATGACCAAGGGAATAATTTTTTTAATAAGGATCACTTTGTAACTCCTACGAAAAAACATGTATTTTTTTAATCATTGATCATCATAGTCACACATTAAATATATTTTTTGTCAATGACTACTATAAAAAGGGTGTATGAATACCCTAGAACTCGTTGAAAGCACATTCCCTTATCTTTTGTATATCAAATTAAAGATTCTCGTAATCTTACCTGTTTATAAATTAAATAGGTGTTATTGTTATTAGAAAAATAATAATTATTTTTCTTACTTTTTCTTTCTCCTTTTAAAGTAGTGCTCCATTTTTTTTATTTAAGAGATAAAATATTAACTGCATATGTATTGAAGAAAAATATTAATTTAGTCCTATGATCACTTTTTTCTTAAATTTTATTATCTCCTTAATCATTGTGTAACACTCTATAACAGAAAATGGAGTGAATATCATTCACAATATTTTACCCACACAAAAATAAATAAATTAATGAATAAATAAAATGTATACTATTAAAGCTTTTTTCACAATATTTTTTTTGTTTCACACAAATCTGGTTTAAATATGGTTAATGCTCTTCATTCTTTCTTTTGTATTTTATGAGGATCGAATCTTTAACTCTTCTCCCAATTTTAGGTTATGTTGCCAATTTAGTCACCTCTTGTAAGAGTAAAATATTAAAGTTAATCTTTGACTATGTTTAGTATTGTATAATTTTTTTAATAATTTCAAATGTAATCAATAACTTTCTATATTAATTTCTCGATTTCTTTTTATCGTTGTGCATCTAAGCTAATAAATCTATGAGCATGATTGTGACGTGTGACAACAAAGCAAGGGTATTTGGACTGAATCACAAAACAAATATTAATTTAACTTATTAAGTTCAAAATCCATATCATAATAAGAGCAGTCTATTATTATTTTTTTCCTTTGGTCGATAAATAAAAAGTCCACCTCTTCTTTTCTTTATTGGTCAACAAAACTCTAGAGCTTTAATACGTACATATTTCGAAAGTGGAGAAGGGACATCCTAGAGAAGCATAGGCCCATAAGACCTTTTTGGGTACATAGGCCCATAGGGTCTTGAAGATAGTTGATTGACAGAGGAAATTCACGAAGGTGTATTGAAATTGAAATCTGCAGGTTGTTAAACTTTTATGGTACAATTTTAGATTACGAGTAGATTGTAGTTCATTGACTACTGGAATAAAAGAATCAAAGACAAGCAACGGGCAATTGTGAACCGAGGACATGCAATCTAACGCATCATCTTCTCCCTCTTCCCTTATATGTGAGTATCATCTTCTTCCTTATTTTTTGACAAATCGCCACTATCTTTGTCAACATTCTCCAAAGTACTACTAGTTTCGTTGTGGTCACATTTATCGTGATCTTCTGGAGAGGACATGACAACAACTTCTATGGCTTCAGCTTCTTGGATCGTTTCTGATGGCACTAACTGAGTCATGTTTTTCATCTCTTTACTTTTACCCCATAGAACCATGTAAAGCCCACTCACAATCAGCACTGCTCCAAGCAAACTACATGTTTTGCAAAACCAAACCAAATCATGAATATATGTGAAAGGTCATTAAAACCAAAAACCGTCAAAGTGAATTAAGATTTAGTACCTACCTTCCTATATATAATTTCTCATCCAACATCAAAGAACCGGAAATAGCCACAAGCACAAGCATTAGAGGGTTGAAAACAGACGCAAATAGTGGCCCTCTCATCTGTATGCACCATGCAGTGATAATAACCACTAATCCAGAGGCAACGATTCCCTGCAATAAAATTTAACTCACATGAAAACTTCCTTTTACCACTCATATATATATATATGTAGTTTTTATATAAATAAATGAAATTACAACTTAACAATCATAATTATTATGATTAAAGTAGGAGTATATATACCGAATAAGCCACAGCTAGTAGCCTGATATTCCAACCCAGCTTCCATTGGCTCCAATCCCTCTCCACGCAGACACCAAAAACAGTGGCTTGTATTGCTCCCATTGTAGACATTAGAGCAGTGCTTGAATAATGGCATGGGTATTCTTTGCTCATCTTAGCCTGTGCCACAAGTGGGAAAGTCAAACAACAGCTTCACATAGTGATACACACAAAGAAGTCAGACTAGGACTAGAGGTTCCAAACCTGAATAGTGAGCCACAAAGCAAAAGAGAAGCAACTTGCTATGGCACAGAGAACACCCAACAATTTACTGCCAGAGTCAGCATTTAGTGGTGCAACGTGGGTATTTTGGTGGTGATGTGGATGCAAAAGGTTTATATGGAAGGGCCAAATATCCAATTCTGCTCCTTTGAAAAAGGTCAACAACATTGCCCCACCAATTCCAATCAGTGTTCCCAACACCTTGGCCCTTCCTGCTGCTGCCCTCAAATTTAATCTTTCGAAACTACAGAAAATTTAACGAGAATTAAACAAAATTAGCAATTAAATTATATTACAAATAAAAGTAACTTCAATTTCCTCTCATGACTAATGAACATTTTACAAAAGAAGATGAGGCATAGTGTGGATGGTAGCATGGCAGGTGATGATTACCCGCAGGAGATGGCCAAGACAAAGGTGATGGCTGGAATGAGGTTGTAGATAGCGGACGCAAACGTTGCTGATGTTAAAGCCAAGGACTCGTAGAAAAGGTTCTGAAATAAACTTCCCCTGTAACATCACATAACCATATCAATTTGGTCAATTAATTAATTAATTACAATTGACAATATAATGTACGTACAATATATGGGGCAAAAGGTGTATAATTTACATAACATACCCAAATAAACCACAAAGAAATGCCATGAAAACCACCCTCCATGTCAGCTTTGGCCTCTTATTCCTGTACAGAAGAAAATCAATTTTGGCCAAGTTAATCTGCTGCCATATAAATGCATGTTTGGATTAGCTTTTTTTATTTTTGGAAAAACAATTGCTTATTTTTTATTCTCTCACGAAACTATAAAAAAAAGCGATTATTTTTTCAGAATAAACTTGACCATGTACAAAATTTTAAGTATAATAAATAATTTAAAACACATGAAGATGGGAGCAAGAGATGGACCTCTCAGAAATGAGAGCAAGAGGAACAGTGAAAGCAGATCCGAAAGCGAGACGGTATGCTGTAGCAACCTTGACACTCATTCCATCGTTTATGGCGAGCTTGTAAAGCACATTAACAGCAGCATATGCAATTTGCACTACCACCATCAGCATCACTGGTTTCAACCCATGCAAAACATTGCATATGCTCTTCATCTGTACCATTGTGCTTGCAACTATCGCAAATGAGATTGCAGACACAAGGAAATAGACAGCGATAAAAAACTATGAAGGGGTACCCAGCAGCAGAGGGATATTTATAGTTATATGGGGACTGAAGATGCAGATTCCAAATAGTGTTTCTCATCCAAGGACTGCCGTTATTTACACATTAATACTTTCTTTATTTTTTTTAATGTGCATTTTTTCTTTAAATAACGAAAAAAACCATTGTCGTAACTTAGATATAATGTTTTAAATTTTAATTATAGTGACGAATATTTTATTAATTTTTTCAAAAAATTAAAGAGAACTAATATTATATGATGATTATACCAAATACTTTTTTAAAAAATTATATCTTTTTATTAAAAACAATCATGTTCAAGGTAAATAGACTCAATATGGTTGACAAATCTTTTTTCTTATTAGTATCGTAAATATATTTATATTTTACGTGATATATATTGCAATACTCGTGTGTATATGTATGTTTTTCTAAAATAATATTTAGACAATATTGATTATTATAACATTATCGTCAGTCTTGAGTCATCTTATCTCATGATCTTCCTCTATTAAAGCTACGTTACTATTAGTAATGTTAGGATTAACACGCAGTTAGTCAATATTAAAGTGTGATGGAAACATACCCTTAATCTAAGTTCGTCTTTACGTAAGAAGACTAAGACCGGGAAAGAAGCATTGGTACTTTTATTTGCACGTGGAAACCAAAATATATAGGTCAATCAGGACGTCTTGCCAATTAGACCTTAGGCTTTTGGCTTTGCATTGCTTTACTTATCCTTAAAGCAGACAGATACAGTGGACAGTGGAAGACAAACTGGACCAGCGTTTGTGCGCAGATTACTTGAACCGATTCAATTAATTAGCTAGTGAACGATGGCCAACTATATTGAGGACCCTGAGCATCATACACATACAAGTAGTCTTTCATTGTTTGTCGTTCTTTTGTTATATCATGTCTTAGAATATGTTACATTCAAAGTGATTGGTTGTTATATCATGTTTTAGAATATATTGCATTTAAAGCGATTGGTACGTTCTAAAAAGGATAAAGTTAATTTCCATATTTTTTTATTTTTATTTTTAATCGTGTTTTAATCAATGGTTGTAGCTTTAATGCAATCCTCTCGCAAATTGCTTGTTTTATCATGGCTTTATGAAAAATATCCACGCATCTGACTTTTCAAATTAAAGTCTTGGTATGCTTCGCTTTCATCGGCATGTATCTTGTTTTATTGCTTTATTTATGGAAATTGCCTTGTATCTTCTGCCTTATGGTTTCTAAAATGAAATTGCCCAGTAGATATTTTAAGGAATTGTAATACGGTTCCTATTTTGTATTTTTGTTTGATATATACTTATTTCCTTGTCTCTATATTAATTTTTTTACATGTTTATTTTGAAATTAACAATTGATAACTTGTATAAGATCCTTGCTATAAGATGCTTATATTTAGTAGGTGACTGTATCTCGATTCTCGAATATAATTGAGCTGATTGTACTTTTAGTTTCAAATGAATTCACGCGAATAAGAACACCCTTCAGTATTCACTATTCAGTAAAGTGTTAATCTGTGTCTATTTAGCAAGTGCCAGGATGTGCGAACGAATTCAACTTTATCTGGTACAAGAACGAATTCACCATTAATTGTTGGAGAATAAAATATAATTTTTACTTTGTAATCCACACAAACTGATGGAACAAAAGTTTGATCATATAAATAAATGTTTAATCATTTGCATGTGGTACATTTAACACTGCCTATTAGAAGCGCAGAACTTTCACAGCGGAGCCACTTACCGTGTCTCAGAGGCATATGCACAAAATCGATGGACCAAAGCCTTTAATAAAGGCAAGACCAAATTCCTTATCCTAAGAACGTAATATATATCCACCATATTCCTTATTAATATTCCACTATATAACAATATTATAGCGCAGTAAATACTTTCATTGTTAAGTAGTTAATCAATTACGAATACATTATTAATGATTAGTTACTATGATTAATGGACATCAAATTTGCGTACTTCATATTTATGCAATAATTTCTTATATGACTTTTGTTGTGTTTTATGAGAGATTAGCAAGCACTTTTAAATAATGGTATAAATGAAGTTGAGTTATTTATAAACTTAGAGTTCGATCCGTTGAATGTTTGATTAAGTTTAGTTGTTTAGTTAAGTGATTAAATTCAAATTTAAAGTTATGTTTAATTATGTATACGAGTTAAATTTGAGTTTTGTATAAGTTTAATATATATTAATGGCTAAACATGAATTCGAATTTGTATACATTATCTATATAGTTATAATTTTATTTATTATATACTTAAACATTGTAAATTGTTTATATTATCTTTTATATGTTCTTGGTTTTAATTTTTAAGAGCTAATCATTTTTAAATAAATCATTAAATTTTGTTAAGAAACACTTATCGTGTTCTAGTGTTATTTTTGAAAAAGCAAAAATTAAGTAGTCTCTATAACTATTAAATTATTATTATTATTATTTCACTGTTTAGTATAATCATATATTAATTATAAATAAAAAATAATATTTAAATTATAAATGAGATAAAAAAATAAATTTAGGTTTTATATTTTAAAATAGATTAAATTTAAAACTTAACTCATTTTAAACAAATTAGTCAAATTTAAACAATCTCCTGTAGGGGTGACACGCGCGCGGGAGATACTCTCCCGCTCTCCGTTCCTGTACCCCATAATCTTCGTATGTCCTTGTTCCCAATTCCCGTAATAGGAAGATTTTTCTTCCATCGCTATTTCTCGCTTTCTTATAAATCCTCGTAAATTTGCCTGAAATACATAAAAAAAATAAAAATATCAAAAGCTATAATTTTATATTATTATTATTTTAAAAAAATGTTATATTTTATTTTAGATAAGTAAGTTACTATATTATTTCTATACGTATGATATTTAAAAAGGTTATTTAAATATTTTCATATATAGTCAGAAATAAAAAGAACCCGCGGGACGGAAGAATTGGTCCCTGTCTCCAAATTAATTGGCACTCATTAGTCTTCCTGTACCCTTCCTTTCCTGTGTGTGTTTAAAAGTAAATTTTCAACTTAATTCAAATATACATCTTGACTTAACTCATTTGCATGTTATTCTTGATTCACTGTTCTACGACTTAACTTATTAGTGCTCCTGTATTCCATGTGTGCTCTGCAATGCCTTTAGGCTCGCTTTAAATAAGATTACGTGCAATTACAATTAAAAAAAGAAAAACAAGTTATGCGTCACCAATGATGATGATGAAAATTTTTATCATATTTGTTGGGATTCGATTCAATAAACTTAAAAGAGTATATTAACTTTAGTTTTCGGTTTAAATTTAAGTAATTAATAATAATAAACTTATATTAAAAAACTAATTTTTAAAGTTTAACAAAATTAATAATCTTAAAAGCTGGCAATATGATGGGAGCAGTATTAGTTTTGTTGGTTTTCAGTCGAAAATTTACATTGAAAAGAAAAATGCTAAAATTCCTGGAAAGAGGATGGATGTATCTACCATGATTCAATGAATCAAAGTGGTGATTTGATAAGGGAATAACTTTTAGTGAGAACAATGAACGTGCATGATCTAACGACATATGAACAGAAGTTCCATTATTGCTACACATATTAAACAATTCGGGGTGGTGATTTGAGCTACCATGTCCTACTTCCGATCGACACTAATGACGTACTGTAGCCCCCTCCCAAATAAAAAGGGTAACTCCTCAACGATACCATTGCAATCACAAAAATCCATTATTGTTAACTCAAACACTCTAATTAATTCTATAAACACAGTATATTATACTATTAATATGATATATATAACAGATTATAAAATTATTCATATTTTAATTATTTATATTTTAATCCATGGTTATAATTTTTTATAAAAGTAATACATTTTAATAGTTACACTTTATTGATTGATGGTTGACTATAGACTATAGCACTGCATACTTTACTTTTATTTCTGAAATTTTTTTCTTTCAGTTGCTTTAACTTATAAAAATTATATATATATACACACACACACTAAGAAAAGTTAAAGTTACGTTCATTCTTATATGATAAATAACTTAAATATAATTTTTTTTGTTGATTTAATTGTTAAATTGTAATTATATATTACTTACATTATTTGTATCAAATTTTATTAAAATTAAATATTCATCACATTGTTATCAAAGTGTCATTACTTTTATAATTTTTAAAAGTATATATTACATTATTTTGATAAAAAAATAAGTTATTAAATAATTTTAGATTAATTTCAAATTATATATATAATTTATGTAATTAAATTTTTTTAATTTTATGATTAATTTTATAATTAAATTATTCAATAAGAAGTTATTAAACGAAATAAGAATGAGTACATGTTATACTTAGTATAATTTTAATCCTTTCCCTATATATGTTCACTTTAATTTTGATTATTATTTTTTCTACTTTCTCATGCTTTTCTCTCTCTTCAATTATAATATTAAGTTATATTATAATATTATATATAAATAATAAAATATTTATTTGTGATATAATAATTAATTTATTACTACAATATAAAAATATTTTATTATATATTTCTTTAAATATAATGTAAAATCAATTTTTATTTAGATTTTTATAAAGAAAGAAGATAATCCTTTAAATATTGTTTTACATAATTTATATATATTTTATATTATAAAGTTAATTTCATGATTGTTTTAAGAATTAAATATTAAATAATTTATAAATATAATTTTACTATATTTTCAATATAAATTTTTTAACACAAGATGATGTAGAAGCCCTTATCATTGTCACTGCCCTACAAGAGTCCCATGCAGGGTGGTATTTAGGCCAAAAGTGTTATCGTTCAATCTTCATAACATCTCTATTGACATTTAAAAAATGAGATTGTTGTGGTTCTAACTGATGCTATGTTTGGGGAAGTTTATTATAGGATCTGGGAAAGGAGTAAAGTTCATGGCTTTTCCTCGAATGGTGTGTCCCACTATTAGTCTGGATGGCCATTTCAGAGGAGGAGATCGATGTCGATAAAATATAGTTAATTTTTGGACAACGTTATTGGATTCCAATATCCCATTTTTTTGGCTCCCTTCTCTACAGAGGGAGATGGACGAAGCTGATCTAACCTCTATGAAGAACATAAAATACCTAAAGGAAATGAAGCTTATTCATTATAAAGTGAAAAATAAAAATTTATCTATCTTGGATGAAAAATCAAAACCATTTGGCTGGAATTCTTATCTTGTTTAATTGGAAGCCAAATATTCTTCGTTCCACAAATTAAATTAATCGTATGGAGAGCCAAGGCATTTAGCATGATTCTCTTTATAAACAGACTTTTAAAGCAGCACGATGTAAGTTCAAAATTGTGCCATGTCTTACGGCATTTTATCTACAGAATTGGAAAGTTAAAATAGACGGTCCTCAAAAGTTAAGGATGATAAAAGGATAGGATTCTGCAACTTAGTATTTGGTCCATTAATTGCATTGAAGAAAAATGAACGAGAGGAAAGGGATTTTTGTAAATAACTTTTGTTTGCTTTGCAAGTTTGGAAGAGAGGGGAGGGAAAATAAAGCCAAATCCTCTCCACATTTTTGTTTCAATGTTTACATTGGGGGATTTCAGAATGGAGAAAACGTTTAAAGCTTTTAAAGATTTGATCTCTGCTAAAAACAATCATGGAAAGGAGTGAACAGCCTTAAGTGTGGTTAAATCGATAGTTGAAAAATTGTCAACACCAATATAACAATCAAATACTAGATGCATGGTGTAAACTAAAAAGTAAAAAGAACCTTTTATTTTCAACTGTAATCCCTTTCTCTCTCTTTTAAGCCGATCAATTAATTAGTTTAATGATAAATATATGTTAGAGGAGTAAAACTTTTGTTTGTTTATTTGTAAGTGTCTGCATGCATATGGATTAAATTCAATGAGATAACTCGAGTTATTTGATATATAACGTGGTTTGAGTTCTGAAAGTTTAATCCTAATCATAATTTAGTCCAAATTGTTTTTGGCCCTTGTTAGGGAAGGCACGCTTCTTTTTTATTTGTCATAATAATATTTATTTGAATTAAACTTTATAAATTAAATTAGATCTAAATCTTAAATAATAATAAACAAGGTTTGAGAATAGAAAAATCTATTTTTCAAAAATAGAAAACAAATGGGTTCTAAATATATTAACAACTTGTTAATGGTATGTGTGTTTTTTAGTTTCATATAAATATATAAAATTCATAAATATAAATTTCTAAGAAAGTATTAAAAAATATTAGCGTTATTAAAGAGTGATGAATTCATTTGTCTTAATAACAAGTGTGATAAATAGTGTCTTAGTTGTCAAAATGAATATTTTATTTTATTACATAAAAATAAATTAAAGAGATAAGAGTTCTAAAATTGTTATATATAAAAATAAATCAAAGAAAGAAAACTTTTAAAATTAAGAAATAAATTGTATAAATCAACAACTAATTTTAGACGGTGCGTTAAAATTCAAATTTATAGACGTGATAATATATATTTTAAAATAACGACCAAAAAATTTGAAATTAGGTAAATTTAAATACTAATATTTGAGAAGTCGAAAGTTATGGTATAATAGACTTGAAGCAGAAAAATAAAAATCACGTAAGATTGAGAGGAAAGGTAAATTTGGTGACGTCCTTATTTTTCAGAACTATTTTCTTTCCTAACATCAAATATTTTTCAATTTCATTATGTATATTTTAGCCTTCTATCAAGCTATCGATTAATTTCAAAGCAAATTACAAATTCATGCACATGATTAGGAACTATTTTTTGGAAAACAATATTTTGAGTGTATTAATTTCTTAAAAATTAATAAAAATAAGCTCAATATGTCTTAATTCCCATAACATGGGTTAAAATTTAATTTTGCACAACATTGGAATTTGTACATCATTGACTTGAAACAGAGAACTTGCATGATCGGTCACTTCACATTTTGATTTTATTATGTGAAGAATTTAAAGTTATTATGAGTGCCAGTGAATAAAGTTCTATATCCGTGGGTACACTAGCAAATCCTTTTCTCTTTTCCATTTTCCAGCGGCCAGCAGTAGTGGGCAAGTGGAAAAGGTGGTGTTGGGTCCAACATGTGTACCCTCTATTCTTTTTATTTGTACTTTTTAGGCCTTGGAGATTTCACTTGAACCCATTTCTTCTTTTCCTTTATTTTCGGTGTCTTGTACTTTGTGTTCACTTTTCGATGAATTATCATCATCCTTGTCAACAGAATTGCTCCCACTGTTGGTGTGGCTGTTGTTGTTGTTGCAGTTACCTTTATCATGATCCACCGCATTAGACGCGACAACCACCTCAATTTCTTGAAATTCTGGAGTGATTTCTAAGTGAGTCACCCTTTTTATTTCTTTGCTCTTACCCCACAACACCATGTACAATCCAATCACAATTAGCACTGCTCCAATTACACTAGACATGTTTCAAAAATCAATTCATGAATATGTAAGTGGACCCTGATCATATAAACTAAAGTTAATAATAACTAGGGTATAACCAAGTGCTCTAGGATTTGATGTATACCTTCCTAAGTATAGGTTCTCATCCAACATCAAGGAGCCAGCAATGGCCACAAGCACAAGCATAAGAGGATTGAAAACAGACGCATACAATGGGCCTCTCATCCTCACACACCATGCAATTACAACAATCATTATTCCAGAGGCCACAATTCCCTGCAACAACACCAGCAATTCACGTGAGCATGCATGCATCATTTTATAAATCACAAATAATTTCCACATGTTGCTTCACTAAACCAATACTAATTGCTAAATATGTAATTATAGCATACCGAATATGCTGCAGTTAGAAGCCTAATGTTCCAACCCAGTCGCCATTGGCTCCAATCCTTCTCAACACAAAGGGCAAAAACAGTGCTTTGAATTGCCCCCATTAAGGACATCAAAGCTGTGCTTGAGTATTGACTTGGGTATTCTTTGCTCATCTTAGCCTGCAGTGTCCAATAGTAATTAATTATAGCAAAAAGAGAAAAACTAATCAAATAAAAGTTCACTTATTAATTAAGTAGTTTATCTAATTAACCTGAATGATGAGCCATAATGCAAAACAGAAGCAGCTTCCAAGGCCACAAAATACACCCAACAATTTACTACCAGAGTCGCCATTTAGTGCACCAGTGGGACCCTTTTCATGCAAAAGGTTAATGTGGAAGGTCCAGATGTTAATTTCTATACCCTTTAGAAAGGTCAGCATCATTGCGCCGCCAATTCCTGTTATGGTTCCTAACACCTTAGCCTTGCCCGCCGACGTTCGCATATTTAATTTTTCGAAACTAAGGAAATTCAAATTCCAAACATAAGTTATACAAAAACAATATGGAGTTATATATCTGTAAACTTATATGTCATATGTGGCTTCAACATCAAATAGCTTAATTTGTTGAAATGAAATTGATGAACGTACGTACCCGCAGGAGACGGCTAAGATAAAAGTGACGGCAGGGATGAGATTATAAACAGCTGAAGCAAATGTTGCTGAAATCAATGCCAAGGACTCGAAATAAAGGTTTTGAAATAAACTTCCCCTGTTATGTTATTACACGATCATGTAAAAATAAATTGTTAAACGTTTTACTAACAACACAATTTACAATTAACTATATTTTTATAGTTTTATGGAACTCTTGAATTTAATTTTAGCTTTTAAAAAAATATTTCTTAATAAATTTAAGAATAATTTCTATCATCACTTAATAATAATATGATATACATTTACATATTACATCAGTAACTATTCTGAAATAATATACAACATAATATGTTTATATGCATATCATGTCATTAATACTTATTCATAATTTTTTTTTATTTTTATTGATTTAAGATTAAAGAAATTAAATTAGTTAAAAATTTTGAAAAATTGGAGACACCATTATTTAGATTTGAAAATGCTAACAAAAGTTGATGAGTTTACGTAAACTTACCCAAATAGGCCACAAAAGAATGACATAAAAATCACTCTCCAAGTCAGCTTTGGTCTGTTTTTCCTGTAAATGATAAAAAAGGAAAAACCATATAACCAATTTAGTAATATTGCATGACTGTAGTCTGGTTTGATAGTAAAAAGGCTATGGGTGTGGATATATTAAGAACCTTTCAAAAATAAGAGCAAGTGGAACAGTGCAAGCTGCTCCAAAAATGAGACGGTAAGCAGTAAGCACTCTCACACTCATTCCATCGTTGATAGCAACTTTGTAGAGCACATTTACCGAAGCAAATGCAATCTGCACCATCAACATCATCAGAGCTGGTTTCAACCCATGCACTAAATTCCTTATATCTCTCATTTTTCACACAGGTGTGAATTAATTAATCACCGTCTATTTGTATACTTGTACTAGATATATATATGCGTATCACAACAAGCTGCTACAAAAGTGTTTGCGATTGAGGAAAATAGAAAAGAATACGGAGTTACGATCTTACGGAAGTAGAAGCCCAACGATGGCTTACTTATATAAACAAAATTCTCAGTGGAAAACACTACGATTTTCAAATTCAAAGACGCATGATTTTGTTCCAATGCAGTCAATTTGCTACAAACGCGTCTTGCAACTACCTTGAATCGTGCTTTCATAGCATTTCAAGTTGGACCCTATAACCCTGCGCATAAGGAAGTCAATTAGCCTTTTTTAACCATTTCACAATGCGACTGTATATCATGGATTAATGCATGCATGCTACAGTTACATGGGAGCATGTGTTAGACCTAGTGGTTGCCTGCTAGGAGGGGAGTTTCACGCTTTAAAATTATATTTCAGAAAGAAAATTGCACGTACGCTTTAAAATTACATTTTAAAAAATACTCATTTTTAAATATTATTATTTTAAAATATAACCAAATGATTTTTTATTTTGGCGGTTAATAGTGAATATATTAAGAAAAATAATTTCTATCAGGTTAAGGCTCATATGACGATAAAAGAAAAATGCCTATTGAACTCGATCGTGTGTGTAAAATGTACACCGTATTGATTAGCTATATTGTTGTGCCTATACGCCTACATTAAAAAAAAAGCTGTTTCGATACTTTTTCTATAATAATTTTAAAATAGTAGCTTTAAAAAATATACAAAAAAAGTTATATATCACAGATTTTTTCAAAACTTAAACAAATTATCAAACCTTTAAACAATGTTTTTAATCACTTTTTCCATAAACTGAAGATCAATGAAACTTGTTTTATGTCAAAACTAACTCATGATTAAAATTTAAAGTTTAACTGAAAGAGTAAAAAAGAAAAAAAAGAATTTCCTTACAATTAAAAATAATAAAAACCAAGAGAAAAAGGGCAACCAGTCACAACCTGTAGGAGGATTAAAAGTTGAAACAAAGTCCTTGGGCGTTACTATATTTAGAGTCCCTGTTCAGTGCTACTCTGATTTTTATTTTAAAAGACTATCGCTATTCGCCTTTTCTCTGTTTACTTTTTACTCGACTTTGATTAAGTGCAGTCTCAAGCAAATGAAATTATTTAATTATTTCATAAGTCACTTCTTATTAATAAAAATTGTAATTTCTTACATTCTTTTAGGTTATCAAGTGCTAATGCAGGCACATAGAAATGTTTGTTTTATATTCGGTAGTGCAATGGAAATGTGGAAGCACTCACGAAATTAACGTTTGTTTTATATATCAAGTGAATAAAGAATTTGGATATATGAGATTTTGCGTTAACATATAATATTTGCTTGGAAGATCAGTCAATAAGGGTCCAAACCCACTATGCATTTAGTTATCATTAACATTCGAAAACATCAACACCAGTTGAGTTGAGGGTCAATCGTGGCATAATTCATCAAGTTTTTGTCTTGCTCAGTATTTCATACCCCTAAACCAAAGAATTCTCAGCGCATGGTCATGTAATGTATATAAGTACTTTAGTATATTCTTTGTTAGAGATTATTGCATTTAGTGGAATTATCTCATGCATGACCATCATTAGCTACCTGATTGTAACTCACCCACAGGAAAGCTTATCATAGAAGGACGAACACAAAAGAACTAGCTAGGTACACAATGTTCTATACACAATTATATTTTTAATCCACGGTTACTTAAAAGTTAGATTAGAGTACCTTTATAAATATTCACATCTTTAATCATCTTTTTAGACCTATACCAAAGTTTACCTCCATTATTTTCTAGTGGTGAGATAAGTAGGCTTGTGTTCAAATATGAATTTAAATATATATATCAATGATATGATTTATTTCTATTATCAGTTTATCACACATTTATATATATATATACAAGTTAAGTGTTAAAATGGTGTTAAATTGATGCACTAAATTATCTTAATATTGAACTAATCTGTTTGCCTAAATTAGTGGTTCAAAGATACTTGCAGAAAATATATATTTTTTTGCAAATTAAATGCTAACAAATTCTGCTAGATACTGTATAAATATATGCAATTATTATCGTTTTACGTTTTAGCCTGAATATCTTTGAGGATTCAACTTAATTATTGTTGTTAACTTTTTTTTGATAATATTACATTTTATATATATGTTTTTTTGAAGTATATTATCTCTCTTTTATTCTTACCCCATTCTCTTAATTATAAAAAATTAGAAAAAAAAAGTTATACAAATTCTCTTTCACGTCTCATGCGCAGGCAATTCCATCTTTAAGCACCCAGATTTATGAATTTATTAATACCCACTTAAACTGTTGCATTCAGTGACCTCGCCTTAGGGCAAGTGAACATATAGAAAAAGTGTATTTTCATAATTAATATTTAGAATTGGATTTTAGTGGGATTTTTTAATCAGCACCAAATGTACGGGTTGTTTTCAGTGGGATGGCATCGCTAGGGTTTGAAATGAAAATTACCACTTCCTCTAATTTATACTTTTCAAAAAATTTGATTTGACTCTACTTATCTCTCAATTTACAATCTCTTCAAGAGATTATAATATAACTCAATTTTCTCAAGCTTATTATCAATAAACAAGGCTATAAAATGTCCCACTCACGTGCGCAACTACCCATTAGCCCTGCATGCAATAAAACACACAATTGTGCTGCAAATTTTCTACCTCTTCCGTATGAATAACATTATGCGCGCTCCACCATTGACGTACCATTTTCAATGTCGTATGTTGATTAATTTAATGTGTATCTTTAAATAAGTGGCTTTCAATCATCATCAATTACTAATAAACGCCACGTAGCTTTTGAAGTTGATGAAAAGATGTAGCAACGACGACGCAAATGCTAAGAAGCAGGCAATCGATGCTTTCACTGCTCCACAGTCAAAGTGGGTATGTCTTAAGGTGCCGGCGGCCTTCGATATTACGTTGTTTTCGACTTCATTTCGTCTTTTTCTTTCCAATGTCAGAGGGGCTGCCTCGTTATTTAAAGTCTTATGTTTTCTTTAAAATAATTTAAACCTGTTTCCAAGATATTAAATATTTAATATCTGTTCCTTTAAAACACAACTGATGTTCTTTTATTTATATATTGATTATTAATAACGTACGATCGATGATGTACATGTATATTGTAGGATGAATCATTCAAAAATTCCCACGTTATTATATGTTAAAAAGAAAAGATAAAATTATTATAAAATATTTTTTTGTTCTAAATAAGAAGATCAAAATTATTATATTGTAGGTCAGGCATGCTTACTAATGACTTTGCAATTCATATCTTTTAACATTAAATTGTATTAAAAATTAATTAAAATTAAAAATAACATTTTTGACACAAAGGGAAAGTGTTTAAAGATGCATTGTAAGTGCAAATGGTCAGGAGAAAAGAGTGGAAAGTGGGGTTTGATTTGGGTGGTAGTGCGTTACTTGGTCGGGAAATGCCGTAATGGTTCCTTTTTTCCGTGCCGTGGCAGCCAACAAGAAATTACTCACGCCTGTATCATGCAATCACATGCATCCTCACACATCCATCAATCACAACCAAAAAGAACGAAAAGACAAAGTAAAAGTAACATGCTAGGGAACCAACTCATTACATGATTCACTCACAATGCAATTCTAATTCTTAGATATTTAAATAATATTAATATTTGTTTTTTTTATATATTTTTTTATTGTATCACATTTTTATTAATTATTTTTCTTTTATTCCTAGTCCTCTCTAAATATAAACACGCTATGATTTATTGAATGTAAACCTCCTTAACTGCGATTTCTCTATCACACAAGTGCAGCACAAAAGAGGTGAAAACAGATAAAAACAAGGAAATTCTCTTCATCTTGCGTAACATTATCCTTAGCATTCCACTGACTAGAACCCCATAAAAGCCCAACATATCCTTTCATTTAATCCCATGAAAACGGTTCCACTACGTATCTCCAATCCCTTTCAACACAGAGAAAAATCAATGGGCACTGCAGTGATTGTGGACATTAACTCTGTAATTCAGCAGCATCATACCCTGTTTCAAACCACAATTTACACACGGATAAATAAAGGACAAGACCAATGAATTTAAAGTGCCAACAATTAGATAGGCCACTTTACCAAATCTCTTTACAAATTTATTTTTGACATAAATTTTTTTAATATTTCATTTATTTCAAACTTACATTTAATAAAATTCATTTATAAAATTAAAATATGTAAAATCATGTTTTTCAATGCTCACCTGAATTAAATTAATGATTTTTTGGAACATTATATGAATATTTTTAAGTTTAAGTAAGAATAAATATATGTAAAAGTAAAAAAGGTAAATTACATTATACACCCTTATAACTTTATATTTTTGTTTCAATTTAATATTTAATGTTTTTTTGGATGAATAAATTCCCTTATCTTTTTTTAAGATGAAAAATTGATACTTTTTATTTTTTTATAAAATTACATATTTTAATTAGTGAATTTTGAGTAATAAAAAATGATTTACATTATAAATTAAGAGTAAATAGTTTTATCCGACATAAAATCACTGCCAGACAAATTTTAAAATTACAAGAACACATTTGATATATAAAAAAAGGGTTGTGTTTGAACGAAACATTTTAAAATTTCTACGATTTATGTTTTTAGATGCTAAAATAAATTATTTTTTTAAATTATTGCAGAATTTTAATCAAATAACTTTTATGTAGAAAGAATTTTAAATGACTTATTTTAAAAAAAAAATTATTATGCTTAATTTTTTTGTATTTATTATTAATAACTTATTTCATACTTGACTCGTATTTTAAACATCCTTATTTATTGTTTAACTTTTTAAAATTTTAAACAACCTAAGAGATTAAAACTACATAATCTAAATTAAAAAAAAAATTAAGGGAAGAGCATAAAAACCACG